CACCGATACATGTTAGGGTTAACTTGCAAGATACCATACAATCTGTTCTTCTTATTCCTGTGAATCTGTTCATATTTAAAAAAAACAAATAAAATTTCATTTAATTTACTCAAAATAAGTAGCAAATGTCCATTACTTATTATACTCTTTTAGGAATAACAAGATATATACTCTTTTAGATATACTAAGTTTCTTTTGTAAAAAATTAAAAAAAAACAGAATTCACTAAGCATTTTATCAAACAGTTTATGAGCATACAAAATATGCAAATAGTGAGGCTATTTGGAAGGTTCACAGGAGATGCAAAACAAGTAGAAGAAAGAAAAGTGTACACAAAAGAAGTGATTAAACAGAATTACATGTAGTAAGGAGATGCTAACCTGGATATTGACTGAATCCCTTGCTTTATAGAATTCGGTTGTAAAGAAAAGAAGTTGGTATGAAAATTAATTGGTACCAGAACTCAATTAAAGACCTTCTTCTCGGGAATTTTCTAAGGGTTGCACGGAATTTTTGAGGTGGTAACAACTGTTGTTGGTTGAAGTCATCGTCAATCTCATAGGATAAGAGAGACATTGTCGGATATGCCAGAGAACAAAGACATCATCGTCGGTACTTGCCTTCGTCGGAGATAAAATCGCATAGGAGAGTAGGAGCTTGGAATTCCTAAGCGGGAATGTGAAAGTAAAAAAAAAGGAATTTTGGTTATTAATTTAGGGTTTATTAATTTTTTTATTTTTTTATAAATCAAAGTAATATTTGACCGAATTTAAGATTGACCGATTAACATCGATGTTGACCAAGTCTGAGTCTAAAATAAAATTGAAGTTAGATAGATTTTATAAAAATAATTCTTTGATATTCAAGTTAAAAGGAAAATATCATTCTTTTGATGTTAGTGCAAGCCTGTAGAACAGAAAATCAAGATTCCATTGCCGATACGATAATTGGTATGCTCACTGATCCAAAATAGACAATCTTTTTAAAATGATTTTCTACACGACCGACACTATTTACTTGTGTGGGTTATTTAGACCGAGGGGTGCATTTTCTATTAAGAGGTTCACTCGAGATCCATGTGCATCAGAAAGCACCACAATCGAACAAACGGGATGTGACCCCCAACCTACTTTCTAAGGTTTGTGTCAGTTCTCGCTGACCTCAAACGCAACGTGGTTCCTACTAAATTCCGGACTCAAAATTCAAGAATGGCTTCAATGTTAGGTGTGGGAATCGGTTTCCGTTTATGGGTTCTTTGGTTTCCTTAAATCAGTTTCCACGGTTTGAAATTTTTTTTGTCTAATTTGAAAATCTAACCAAATCAAATTCAAACCCGTTTAGACCACACAAAAACCAAATTCTACTTTTATATGCTTCGGTTTTGTCTGATTTGAAAATCGAACCAAATCGAATTCAATGTTGTAATTTTCAAAACACAAATTAGAAAGGTTCAAACATAAAAAGATAAAGTTCCAAACATGAAGATCGATCAAAAGTTTATATGATTGACATATGTAATTGAAAACGGAAAGTGTAATGTGCGTGTGAGTCATGAATTTGTGAGGATTATGAGTCGTAAAGACTGATAACTGAAAACCCTAAATTTGTTAAAGGGATAAAATGTCTTTTACTTTATGTTGGTTATTTAATATTTTTATTCAATATATGAAATATAAAATATAATTTTTAATTAATTAATAAATTAATGCAATTCGTATTTTTGGTTCGGTTTGGTCTAAAGTTTATGAGACCAAAACTCAAACAAAAAACCAAATTCAAAATTCGTTTTGGTCTTAGAGCAAACCAAAAACCAAATTTGAAAATGGTTCGGTTTGAAATCGATTTCGATCGGTTCGATTTCGTTTTCGGGTATTCCGGTTGCAAACCAAATAATTCACACCCGTATTCATGCCGGAAAATTCTATTGCATAATATTTATGGTTTTTATTTTAGAGTATAATAGTTACAACCTATGATTCCGTAGCAAATTCTGTAGCGGCATAACTATGGATTTTTGACTCCGTAACAAATGTTGTAGTAAGCTAGCTACGAAATTAGATTCGGTGGAAAATGTTGTAGCAAAATAGTTATAGATTTTGATTCCGTAACAATTTCTGTAGCAAAATAACTACAAACTTTGATCCGTAGTAAAATTTGTAGCAAAATACCTACACCTTATAATTCTCTAGTAAATTCTGTAGCGTGATAACTACGGACTCCGATTACGTAGTAAAATTCCGTAGTTATTCAAATATTAGCTACAAAACATAATTCTGTAGCTAATTCTGTAGCAAATATACCTACGTCTAACTATTCTGTAGCATAGTCCATAGTAGAATAACTACAGTTTTTAATTTCTTAGCAAAATTTCGTAACTATTCAAATATTAGCTACGAAATGTAATTTTATAGCAAATTCCATAGCAAAATAGCTACGACAAGCCATTCTGTAGCATATTCCATTGCAGAATAACTACGAATTATACTTCCGTAGAAAATTTCCATAGTTATTTCAACTTTTTCTTGTAGTGCTAGTCTGTCGATTTCAGTCTATTCCAACACTTCCAACTCATAGATCTGGACTCCTTATGCTAGCATTACACGTAAAGTTGCTGACTTTACGTGCATGCAAGGGGTTATGAGGCTAGAACACCAAAATCAAGCTATAATGGAGGTCTAAGTCATGAAAGGAAGTCATAGCTGAGTAAAGCTTCTCACTCAGAGCTTCTAGAGCTCAGAAATGCTCAGATCTAATCTCTATTCGTCCTCAAAGGCTCAATACTCGGGTTGGCCTTGGGAATGGTCCCAAAAGTCTCATAAAAGGGACATGAAGAGATCTAAGAAACCATAGATCAAGGTAAGAGCTTGATTACCAGAAAGTGATTAGGAAGAGGGACTCCTTCTGGATCTACAATCACTCCTTAGCTCTTCCAACTCCTTCTTCTTCTTCTAGACTTCAAATCACTCAAGAACACACAATAATAGCTCACACTTCCATGGAGGACATTAGGGTTTCGCTCTGGACAGTGGGGGCTGTAAATGAAACCCTAGAAATGAGAATGAGATGCTTAAATAGGGTGTCAAGTCCCGAAATTAGGGTTTCCCAACCCAGACCAGACTCGCCGAGTCAGTCTCCCCGACTCGCCGAGTCAGTCACTTAATCTGCGACACAGGTCACGCTCCGACTCGTCGAGTTCCTCCTTGGACTCGACGAGTTGACTCCTTTGACTTGGGGCTTTTCTTTCCTTTCCTGGTCCTCCTGATTCTGGGTATTACACAGTTACACTTTCTTAAATTTCTTAATCAAAGTGAACTTTGACAACAATATTAAACAATTAAACTTCAGTGTAACTGATTCAATTTAACAAATATGCTTGTTTTAAAGCGGTATTTTGCCTCATAACCGAAGGTCTATATTGTCATATAAATCCCTTTTTTTATTTACTTAAAGAAGTTACTATTGTAAAAATTGGTTGAACTCATTTTAAAAAATGGTTCTATAATATTTTTGAACACGAATTTCAAACCATAAACATTATTAAAATCAACAAATGTTTATATACCTATATTCTCCTTCGTGATACCTTTTTGGGTATATTATCCGCCCAAAACAGAATAAAAATTTATAAGAAATCAATTCTTAAAGTGAGTTAGTTGAAATAATTAAGAAAAGAGGGTAAGTATGTTTTTTAGTCGGCCAACATAAGTGGGATGATAGAATAAAATGGATATATAAGTAAAAAAGTTTATTAGTCTTGTTAATGTGAACCGAAATGGTTTCGGTTCACTGTACTTGTGTGCAATTGTGAGTCATATGCGTATGAATGCACAATCGGTTAGCCAACAAAAGTTCATGGGCTTTTCACCAGTTATTTTATTTTTTCGTAAATGAAATTTCAGTTTTAAAAACCTTATTAAATCACCAAATTAAACAGTCACTAGTTACCACCTTAAAGTTTAATTTGTCTTTAATTATTGTGTGTGGGTTACAAAGTTTTGTGTTTATATAATCTGAGTTTTGCTAGGTTCGGGCGGTGCTTCTAGTTGTTGTATCTCTGAAAACAAATGTCCGGTTACAAACGAATTTGTTTTAAGAACACTTTTGAACGAAAATCGCAACAATTTCTTATTTTGTTTGTTGTCGTATATTTCCGTAATATTTTACCTATGGTTACAAATATGTGGCATTAAGTCAAGAGGGTCGTTTCTTTATGCCTTAGGACATCCACTGAACTCTATAGAGTTCAATGGATTGTCACATCATCTTTTTACAATCCATACAACTCTATCATTTTTTTCCCTACAATACATTGAACTCTACAAAGTTCAATAGAATGTTACAAAATATAATTTATAGTAAATATTTAAGAATTAAAAATTTTCCTTTTTCTCATTGAAGAGTTCAGTGACCATTGAACTCCAATTTCATTGAATGCCAAGATGACATCTCATAATGGTAGAGTTTCATCCATTGAATGACACATATATAGACTTGTCACCTCATTGAACTCACCATTATTGATGTTTTGATACATAAGTATACAACTATAAATGATTGTTTACGTTTTTACTTAATCTGGATAGTTAATGAGTAATTAATTAACAATATATAAGTTAATGGGTTAAGTCATACAAAATATGGTTTAATGTGTTTTGACATCATTCCTTTACATATGCGTCCCTTTTACATCATTCCTTTAAAAACCCATCATGCAAAGAATTGATGAATATTGTTAAAAATTATGTAGCTCTTTTATTTGTTGAAATGTAAAGTGCTCATTTGGTCAAATTCAAAATGTTCATTCAATCTCGGAAAGATACAGACTATGTATACAGCATTTTATCCACACATACACATACTTATTCTACCACTTAACTCGTACAGAAGTTAACGGGGAAAAGAAGATACAACTCCTTTGAAGTACAAATGGCTAGTATTTCCATTCATTTATTTAGATATAACTAGTTACAAATACGATTACATTTCATATACTTCCTTATTTAATCGCCACCTCGGTGTCCTGAACCAGCATGGGATCCTGCAGATGATCCTGCGGATGACCCTGCTTCAGAATCACCTCCTCCATTGCCACTAGTGCTCGAGCTCGAGGAGCTTGAAGAGGAGGAAGAAGATCTCGAACCAGACCCAGATCCAGATCCAGCCCCTGCTCCAGAACCGCTTCCACTGCCTCCTATGCCAACACCTGTCCCAACACCCACCCCTACGCCACCAAGATCTATACCTAAATTCTTGCGGGCAACTCGGCACTCGGCACCTAAAATGGCTGAAGAAGCAAGAAGCAAAGCTAGAAGTAGTAGTAGGAACTTCATGATGGTGATGGTTGGAAGAAGTGTACTATATTCAATATGTGTGTTTATACGATATGACTTGTTATGAATGTCGAGATTTAATGAGAATGTGATATTAGCCTAAAGATTATTTACGTATTTATAGTAGTTTTGCATGGTGGATTGGACACGTAGCGGTGAAAGTGGAGAAATTGTAATGAGCTTTACTTTAATTATGCTAGTGGACTCCAAAAAGTCAACAATCTTGTGGCTGAGTATAACCCAAAGTGTCGAGGATTGAAGGGTTTTGACAAGTGTCTGCCGACCCCTTTGAGGACTTTATGATTTTATCCGATAATTTCTTTCATTGATTTTCAAAATAAATATGGCCACTTAATCCCACGAATATTTTTTGTGGAATTTTAACTATCGACGAAAATGAAAATTACAACAAATGATGGCATTGCCATTTGTTAATTGCTTAAAAAAATCGATTTTATTTAAAAAAAAAAAAACATCTAGTTACACCAACGTTTTTGTATGTTTCTTAGAAAAAAATAATGAAAGGATTATTTTTCACAATTCTCTAGCTAGTATATATGTTAACGTTCTATTTTATAAAAACTACTAGGTGAATGCTTTTACATTTGCAGAATAAAGTTATATAACTTTTAGTGTGTTTTCTTTGGCTAATGAGTGGTTTTGTTAGGCAGATTCCTCAATCTTCAATGTGGAAAAAACAAAAAAGGAAGGGTTTTGAGGTCGTTGTCCCTACGTTTTAGTGGTCGATTTGGGGTTTTCGGAGCTATTGTTTGTTTTTACTCATACCACCGCTTGATGGTTTTAGGATTTAAAAAAGGGATAATGACTTAGGAGGGTAATTAGATTTCCAGTTTATCTGTATTAGGTCACTAAGGTTTTTTTTGTGCGTATTAGACCAATATGGTTGTTATTACAGTTTAGAAATAGTCCTTTTTACCGGTTTCTTCCTGTTTAACCGGTAAAAATGACTATTCCTAAACGATAATAACATCCATATTGGTCTAATACGCACAAAAAAACCTCAGTGACCTAATACACACAAACTGGAAACCTAATTATCCACCTAAGTCATTAATCATAATTATTTAGAAAACATGCTTACTAATCAATGTGACTGACTTGTTTGATTGAAAATAGTTGTTTCCATTTAAACTTATCACACGACCCTTCCAGAATTTCCAAGTCCAAAAACGAATGGAAATGTAAAACCAACAGGGACTTGCAAATGATGTCTATTATCAATTATTTTATAAAGAGCAAAACCACAACATGAACTAAGAAACTGAAGTTGCAAAATGAATAAAAAATCAGCACATAAACAAACACATACAGACTATATACAACACATAAACGGAAGTTTATAAAGCATGAAACTTAATGACAGGAAAAGTAAAAAACTTAAAGGAGACTTTATAGAAAGAAAGATCACCCTTACTTGCCACAAATGGTTGAAGACATCAACAAGAAGATCAATCTGACCATGGAATCCACATGTTGTCTGATCATGACTTCAGTAGTTCATCTACTGAAACGTAAGAATTGCTAATCTTCTCTGTATCGTTCCAAATTTATCGGATGTCCCCAAAGGGACGACTATAGATGAAGAGCTTCGCCATATAGAGGAGTAGTAGGTTCTTCTTCTGGTCGATATGGGACGACGCGAGTTCTAAACGAACTGGTTTACTGTTGATGGTCATATATTCTCAATGTCTTTAAAATTAGGGTTAATGACTTAGGAGGTTAATTAGGTTTCCAATTTGTCCGTATTAGGTCACTAAGGTTTTTTTTGTGCGTATTAGACCAATATGGTTGTTATTACCGTTTAGAATTAGTCCTTTTTACCGGTTTAATACGCACAAAAGACTATTTCTAAACGGTAATAACAACCATATTGGTCTAATACGCACAAAAAAAACCTTAGTGACCTAATACGGACAAACTAGAAACATAATTACCCTCCTAAGTCATTATCCCTTTAAAAAATTGAGACCTCTCCGCTATAAAATTTTATAGTGTTTAAATCTCAAATGCCCACCTTAATTGTGGTTTGAAACTATTGCTTGTCAAAAGACTCTCTTTAAGCCATGTGTCATATCAATATCTTATTGCTTCGCTAACTTGATTTACGGATATACCCTTCTACTCCTTATGTAGATGTAGATTAGCAACCAATTTTAATTGAATCACGTAAGCTCAGAGGTGATTGATACGTTATAATGCTAACAGATAAGTATCTCCCTTGATCCACCATATCGCCTCCTCCCTTACACCCCGTTCCCGAGTTGAACTTAACAAGAGAAAGGAAAGGAAATGGGTGGAAATGAGAAGAAAATAAAAGAAATTGGTGTTCCCGAGTTTCATTAAAGGAGGGAAGTGGAAGGAAGTGGAGAGAAATGGGAGGATCACTTTCCCTCCTAACTTTCCTTCCGATTTGGGAGGATTTGGAAAGAAAGAACAAAATGATTCATTTTCCTTCCGCTTCTCTCCAACTCGGGAACACAAAAGAAAATTTTGTTTTTCTTTCCTTTCTCATCTTTTCTCTCATGACTTTCTTTTCTCTTCTCTTCTTTTCTTTTGTTAAACTCGGGAACGAGTTCCATTCTCTCATTTTTTCCACACTCGGTTGAAGCTCTTGAAGTTAACTGAAACGCAAACCCTAACGTTGAAGTCTCTAAATAAATCAGCAGAACTAACCCCTTCTCTTTCATCAAAAGGAAATTCAACAACTCCCCACCATTATCCTTTATGGTTTTTCTATTTGGTATATTTTTCATATGTTAAACTGAAATTTGAAATTAGATTCCTTCTCAACCAGGGTTTTATTCCATAAATCATTTCCTCATCCTATAGGCCCAAAATCACAACCGTACATTGTTAATCTCCTTCTTCGTTTTTCATCGGTCACTAATGCACTTGAGTCCAAGTAAAGTGTTGAGCTTTTTTAGATTTGTGATTTTTGATCTCATTCTTTCTAGCATCACTTGCCTCTGAGCCTGAAAATTAGGGCTCAAACGAAATTTAATGGTACTCAAATAGATATAGTTTTCGTTACCGTTTTCATAATTTTTGTTATTATTATCTATATATAAATACAATTCTTCCACATCATCTTTTCCTGCATTGGGTACATATTGTATCAGAAATCTGTGTAATACACCGAGTCCTTATTACAATGAGGGAGCTTCATGGGAGAGTAAAATAGGAAAGCGGATTGACTGCTAAGATGTCTTGAGCCATTCAAATGCTTCTTTGCAAAAATTGCAAATATTACTTCTAAATATTATTCTTCTTTTTTTATTTTTATAACTTTCTAATTCAATAAAATTGTATCATAAGCATGTACATAAATTTGTAGTAAACTAACCATCTTTTAAAGTCTCTTATTATGTGTTGTTCAAGGAATTAGTTTCTCACCAGGTAAAACGAATAGTAGCAACCAGGTTTTTGACAAAATATGATAAAGAAACCTAGCTATTATTAAAATCAAACTTCATAATGAAACCTTTCAATGTGTCTGGTGAACTAATTCATGTCAATATACGTTTTGTAAATCAGTTAAAAGCTCTACTGTTAGAGATTCAGTTGATGGCATGAAAAGTGAAGATGCATTAAAAGTGGCAGGAAAAGGTGAAGATGCATTAAAAGTCAAAGAATCAACTGTTGTTGGTTTAAAATTATCTGTTTTGGGCCTACAAAAATAATTGTTATTTCTAAGTTTCTTTTGTTTGGGCCTGCAAAAAATCCAACAATTTGTTGAGTAATTTAGTTAAAATCATGATTTATATTAAAATCTAAGCAGATCTTACAGAAAAAAAAAATCCATAATTTCTTTAAACTTCTTTTTAAATATTTCAAGAGGGTCTTCCGCTTCTTGATATTCTCAAAGATTAAGATTGATGTGTAATTCTGTTGGTAAGGTTATTACTTGTTTGTTTAGTGGAATCTTGTAATTTAAGATGGAAAAAAGGAAACACTGATCCAGGTTTTTATAAGGAGACTTTAATAGATGATCATTTTCCTATGTGGTCAATTTTATTATATTAAATGTATTTACATACATAACGTATATCGGATATTCAATATATATATATATATATATATATATATATATATATATTAAACAATCAAAACAAAAGTTTAAAAAAAACTTTAATTTTATTAATTTAATAAAATTTTAAAAATATTTTACCCATGATTCCCATAGGTTGTAACCTAATTTATTATAAAATTGTGTTTTGGTCTTGATTTGGTTTTCTTGTAACAATGAACAATCATGAACGGAAAAGATACTTAGCCTTAACTTAGGACATGATGGATTAATGATCTTACTTTAACTTTTTTGATTCAATGTATTCCTACGGGGAAGAAGTGTAATATATGCAATATGTGTGTATACCATTTTCTTTTTGGCTTTCTAATATAGATCGTAAAAGAAAAAGCATGCCGTTCGAAAAAAAAGATATAAATAAAATCTTAATAAATATATAAAATATTCTCATTATTTTTTACTAAGAAACATACAAAAACGTTTCTTCACTTGAACCGGCATCATAAAAAGAGACATATAACAAATTCCCAAAGACCCTAGGACCGATATAATCAGCACCGATCTACCACCAACCGACAACATACTTGTCTTCCATTTGGAAAGTTTCTTATGAAATTTCTCCACAATCGGCCACCACCCATTAAATTCTCGACATATTAAATCTCACCGGAAGACCAAGATACAAAAATAGAGGTTTTCTTGGCCGACACCCTGTGACATTCGTAAAAGACAACTCAACCCCCACACCATACAAATTGGACTTATAAAGATTTAGTTTTAAACCAGAAACACATAGTATAAACAATCTAAAATCCGAATTATAGAGATAATATTCTCCCGTCATCGCTCCCTCAAGAAAATAGCATCATCAACATAAAACAGATGGGAAATGTTCATAGAACCAACTTTGTCACCAGAAAAGACCAGCTGTCATCGCATCATTCACCGCCAC